TGATCACCTTTTTTGACAAGGACTTACCCCCAGAAGGTGACAAACACAATAAAGCCTTAAACCTCACGGTGGTTTGCAAAGAATGAATGTACCAATGACCCTTATAGACAATGGTTCAGCAATCAATGTATGCCCACTTCGAACTGCAAGGATGTTGGGAATGAAGATTTCTCTCCATCTAAACAAGGAATAAGGGCCTATGACAATACCCGTCGTCAAGCTCTTGGAACCATCACCATGAATGTCACCGTAGGAGTCATTGAACATACCACTACTTTTCAAGTAGTAGACATCAAGGCTTCATTTAACTTATTGTTGGGACGTCCTTGAACCCAAATGACCGGTGACCTGTACAACCGGTCATTTTTTTAATTTTTCTCGAATTATCTTTTTTTTTTAATTAAAATATTTTTTATATCTTTTTCAAATTAACAAAATAATTAAAAAAAAAACATACCACTCTCCCCTCACCCTATTGCCAGCCACCCCCTTCTCCACCTCTCCTCCCTTTCCGACCATCCCCTTACTCATTCCTCCATCACCTTCCTCCCTCTCATGTGCCATGGATGAACCAACTCAAGCTTCATCTCTCCTCTCCAAGCTCGAAACCTACGAATTCGCTGAAATCTACACTTTCTTCTCCCAATTCCTGCAACCATTCTTCTTCCTCAATTCCACCAAACCTCAAAACCCTAGCAAAAAACCTTCTCGCAGCAAAAAAAAACCCTCACAATCTTCCCCTTCTTCGTCAATTAGGTCACTTGCGAAGACATTTTTACCTTTCGTTAATCGGTCTCTCTCTCTCTCTGTCTCCTCCCGAAACGGCTCTTTGAATCTCCTAAACATCCAAAAACTAGCTAATTTGTGGATGGTATGGTGTTTTTGGTGGGTTGGTATGGTAGTTTCGGTGTTTTTGGTGGGTTGGTATGGTGGTTTCGGTGGGTTTGTATGGTGGTTTCGTGGGTTGGAATGGTTATTGGTGGTTGGTATGGTGGTTTCAGTGGTGGCTATTGCTGGTGGTGTACGTAGGTGGTGGCGTAGTGGGTGGAAGTGATGATGGTGAAGGTTAAGGTGTAGGTAGCGATAATTCCGACGACGTTGAAGGTCGCTGGTGCCGGGGGAATTGGTTGGGAGCCGGCCGCTGGTAGGGGAGGGGGTGGCTGGTGGGAGGGGGGCTAGCAGTGGTGGGAAAGGGTGGTTTTGGTTTTGGGAGAATAAATGCAAACTTATGTTTATTTTTGAGAAGATTTAACGGTTGGTCCATTTTAGGAGAATGAGGCAAAGGTTGGTTTGTTGTTGTTAAATTTTCCAAAGTTTAAACACAATCTAATATACACATTCCATTAATTTACCAAACTATTTTCCCTAAAAACCCAATGTTGTTCACAACCCAATATACACATTCCATTAATTTACCAAACTATTTTCCCTAAAAACCCAATGTTGTACACAACCCAATATACACATTCCATTAATTTACCAAACTTTTTCCCTAAAAATCCAATGTTGTGAAGAGTTTATACACAAACCAATAAAAACATTAAGAAAGGGCAAGCCACTCTGAGCGCATCGCGCGCGTTGGCTGCCCTAGTAATAATTAAAAAAGACATTGCTTCCAAACTTCAAACTCTAAAACAGTAGTGATTGAAGCTTATTATAGTATATTTAAAAACTAAGTTTAAACCACAAGTATGAAACCAAGAAAAAGAGATAATCCATGCAATGTCACTCTTATATAACATAAATTATATATGTAAGCCTTTATTCTAATAATCATTTTAACAATTAAATATTCTTGACAAAATCAATATAATACCTAACACGCATTTGTAAAAAAATAAAAAAAATAAAAAAAATAAAATCATATATTTTTCAACAGAATTATGAGAAATTAAACCACATGCTAGACATAGTCAAGAAAGAATTAGTATAGAATGGACCTCACTTGAATTAAATCAAGGTATGTAAATAGGGCTTCTCATGATACACTCAATCATCCTCACAAAAAAAAAAGCACCTCAAAGATGTCATCATAATTTGCAAATTTGAGCAGAAATCAACAATTTAATCGTTGAATGACCTGTGATCAGGGGTCATCTTTGGGACTGCTCTCAGAAAAAAGTAAACAAAAATGATTTTCCCAATAACTTTTTTTTTTCCACACCATACAATCTTTTGAACAATAATCATTGTGTAGCCATTGAAAATAAATAATTCCGTTTTCAAATTGTTGTAAATAAGTTGTTTTCAAGAATACAAAGATGAAATAAACAACAAGATTGATCATAGGAAAGATGGTGTGCTGTGACATAAATCACTGATTTGAAAACGAAATTTCGTTCCAACAGTGGTGCTCAATTGTATTCGCCGATACATTTTATAAGGTTACACTGTACACTATTCTTACACAAAAAAAACTTTTGGATGAGAGGTGGAATCACATGCAGAAACTTATGCCCAAAGAAGAAGATTATGTGTTTAGCTAATTTGTGTAAATAAAAATTATAATTTGATAATTTGATTTCTCACCATGGTATTTATAGAATTAACAAGGCCATATGCCTATATAAGATGAAAGACGAAGAGTTTAATCAAAGTTATGAGGCTTAATCAACCTATCAAACATCCTATTAAGAATAGATTAAAGGAAATGTTGCAAGAGAATCTAAGACAAATAGAAGAAAACCAATAGAATGAATCTAGACACGAAAATAGTGTACTCCATAACCAACCTGTGGCCAAACTTGATAGGTCACAACCTACTCGTGAAGTAAAGGTGATCAAACTTAGGGATGTCAATGAGGCGGGGCAGGGCGGATGTTGGCCTTTCCATCCCCATCCCCACCTAAAATTTTCATCCCCATACCCTCGGCGGGTCTAAAATTCATCCCCATCCCGGCGGGTACAATTCCAAAACCATCCCCACCCCAACCCCCACTTGGATATCCACCCCCACCTAATCCTCACCTAAGACCCACCTAATCCCCATCTCCCAAATACACAATCCTTCATAATTAATAAAGATTGCAAAAAGAAAAAAATTATTGTTATATTACACATTTTTTTTGTTTATAATATAAGTGTATTACAAAGTATTACATTTACTATTTTATTTTACATAATTTTTTTTATAAAATAGTATAAAAGTATATAATTTTGTTTAAAAATATATGGATGTGGGGATGGGGCGGGTACGAAGTGGGGTAGGTGGGAATGGGGCGGGTACGAAGTGGGGCAGGTGGGGCGGGGCGGGTACAACCTAAAATCCACCCCCGCCCCATCACCCATGGCGGGTATGGATTTTATCCCCATCCCCGCCCCATCACCCGCCAAACCAAGACCCATCCCCGCCTCGTTCGGGCGGGGATGGGGCGGGTCTCCTATTTGACCCGCCCCACTGACATCCCTAATCAAACTCTAAAAAAGCAACAAACCAACCAATAAACATAACTTTTCCTCTCTTTGCTCCAATAATAAATAATATTAAATTTTTATTTATAAAATCTTTACAAATATGGGGATTTCTGATAACGAGAGGTGGCACTGCGTGAAGTGGGAAGGGGCTTATAGTTATAGGTGGCGTCACGAATAGGGTGAGGGGGGTTTAATTTTTTTATTTTTTTTTATAAAAAATAATTAAAATTGAATCAATTGTTTTTTTAAAAAAAAAAAAAAAGAAATTGTAAAAATTAGAATATAGAAATCTTATCAATCAAAAAATTGCAAAACATATCAAATCTAAACTTGTTACTAGTATTTTATTTTATTTAAAGCGGATATCCTGATAACGTTGTAGTTATAATAATCAAAAGGTCATATTAATTTTAGAGGGCCAAACAAAGGTGTATTATTGTTGTTAATTTTTTCCATAAATATATCTTTACTAAGCTACTCTCATTTTCATCATGAACCCAAAACTCATACAAAGAGATTTTAAGAGCTCTAAAAATTGTACGTGTGACCTCAGACACAAGCCCTCAGTCGTTACGACTAGGTCATGATATCAACAATTTTAAGAGAATTGAGTCTACGCTATGTGTACTAAAAACAAGCAAGTTATTGTGCCAGAAATTGCCACATCATGCATATACGAAACCTTTTCTGGATATCTGGTAGGTCCTTCACACTTGTGATTTACATGTTCACTTCTCTTTCCTATCATTTTACTCTTGTGGTTGCCATTCTAAAGTACATGCATTAACAGTGATTTTCATATTACTCAGTACTTCCTACCTAATTAGTTACAACCACATAAACTAACGATACGTAAATCTCAATAATATTCCTAATTTTGTTTTCTTTGGGCTGAATTTTCAATATTATTTCCAAATTACCAACACATTGTTATTGTTATTATTATTTATTTATTTATTTTTTAGTATTGAGGTTTGGTATTTTATGCACTCAAATAGTCAAATGTAGAGCTAATAATTTTTTTTTGTTTTTTTTAAGGAACAATTTGGTTTATTAAGTTTTAGAAGTTTTTTTTTAAAAAAAAAAAAAAAATTGGGAAAATTACTGAGAATATACAAGTTTATCACCCTGATTTTGTTTATCAAGTGGCAAAATTGTAAATAAATTAACAACTTTTCAGTAAATATGGAACCCCTCAAAATTACCTAATTACTTGTACTATATTTTTTAAACAAAGTTCGAGTCGTATTGGGTTCAAGTTAATTCCATTGTTCGTGTTAGTTTTGGGCATCTCTTATTAGCTTCGTGTTGATGTCCACTTAGTTTTAATTTGTACCGTCGTGTTATAGAATGCCAACTCTATACAAATGGTTTATAATACATCATTTTTCTTTAATAATTATTCTTAAATTTTGCAAAAAAAACCCTCTGAAATTGTTTTTTTTAATGGGATAGGGTCTGAAATTCTTGTGGCCTCATTTTTTTCAGCAACAGATAAATTCATATTTTGACATGAAAAAGCCACCAATGGTTCCAGTATCCTGTAACACTTTTTAATTTATTTTTTTTATAAAACATGGTTGCTAAATTTAGGTGGGTCATTTGCAAAAATTAATGGAGGAAAATGAAAGTGGGTGCCACAGCTTTGTTCCTTTTCCACTGATAACAGCAACTTCCCTCTTTTTAAATTAGGGAAATTCTAGTTCTGAAAAACTTACATTTTTATATTATTTTTATGTAATTTTTTTTTTTCAGTATGGGTGAATACTCTACTGATGCACCTTTACTATTAAAAACACCTGAAGTTGAGAAGAAAACAACACCTTCATTATTCAAATCATCAGCAAAATGGGTTCTGAAATCTGTAATATGGGTGGTTTTTGTTTCCTGGATTTTGCTCATGTTTCTTTATCCTTCAGATTTTATGACTCATTTGGTTAATCATAACTGGATTAATGCTACTAATGGAACTGTTTTTGGGTTAACAGGTTTGTGAACTGATCACTTTCCTTCTCATTTTTGGAATAATCTTCCATTTTTTTCGTAATTTTCTTGACGCGAAATGTATTCATTTTGATCATATTTGCAGGAAGTTTGTTTTTTGCTTTCACTGCACCAGTTATGTTATTGGCATTTCTTGCCATGTTGTATCTCATCATCTCAGATGAGGAAGAGATTCAAGAGTATGTATTTCTTGTCATTTAATGAATCTTGAATTTTATATAAAATTCGTCCTACAAGTTATGTCACTTAGATTTAGGGTACTCATGTCCGACATGAAAATGTGTCCAAATGTTTGGTTCAGCTGTATTTTTGACAAATTTTCCATAATTTGTCGAAAATGTTGAAAATACAACATGGTTCTTTGTGATGAAATGAAGAGTCTGAATAACATAGAAATATAGGACACTAGATAGATATTTATTCTGATGTTCAGATTCTTTGTGTAGTGTCTGTAGTTTGTTTATGAACCCTGAATTGTTATGCTGTAGGAGCAAGGCTTCGAAACGTCCTGCTTTGCGCTTGTGGACATTCCCTGTAATGGTGGACGGACCGTTTGGGGTGGTTAATGCAGCAGAGTTCATTGGGATACTTCTCGCTGTTGTGTTCGTTATTTGGGCCTGTGTTGTTGTTACTATACACAACTGGAAACTGATCTCTTCATCTGAAGCAACTTCCTTCTCGAAGAGGTAATACAAAAAAAATATACCACTATGGTGTTATACCTTTGTTACCTCTACCTAGTTAGCAATTAGCATACTGCCAAACTACCGTACAGTTTAAGTTTGAAATGTGCTTTAATTCTCCCAAACTTGCATGGTTTCCCCCATATATTGCAGCTTTAATTTATTCTGTTCTTGAGACTGAAATGGTCGAGTTAGACTGTATATTTTGCAATACAGTTGAATTTAGGGTGAACCTTATCTTACATGGTTACACCTATATAAACTAGCTGCAGAATTTACTTCAGAAAATTGTTGTTTCAGAATCTATGATGGACCTTAATTTTTATGTTACAGTGTAAGTACCACCTGATTTTGAGGTTGATATCATGTTGACATTAAGTCTGATCACCTACCTGCTGGAAATCGCGTTGTTGCTTCGTGTCATAAGGTCCCAATTCATATTCATGAATAAGCTGCTTTCTGCTTTAACGTTTTTAACTCTTTTCCTATCGAAATGCAAGATCAGAGATTCATCCTTACGTACTGTTATGTATAGTGATCAGATTTATAGTAAACGTGACTGTCCTTGTTACTGTGTCTTTTCGTAAATTTTATGGCTCATAGAGGTTTGGATTAAAGAATTTTGTCAACTACTTCTGCCTTCTGTTATGTACACATACAAGCAGAAGTTGAATTCACGTGTATATATGATCCCTTTCATATCTCTACTGTCACTTGATTCTCTAATCTAAACTCATCTTACATTCTTTTTTCCTTCCAATTTTTCAGCTGTTTGATGTTGGAGCAGTCAGGAGCTAAACTTGGACTGATTGGATTGTTTTGTTTATCACTTCTTTTTCTCCCCATTTCGAGGGGGTCTATTCTTCTTCGCCTTATAGACATCCCTTTTGAGCATGCCACCAAATATCATGTTTGGTTGGGACATCTTACTATGGTGCTCTTCACTCTGCATGGATTGTTTTATGTAATTGCTTGGGCAATGGAGGGCCGACTGGTAGAGCAAGTGAGTATCTTCCTAAAACTTAGTGTGTCTGCAATATGCCTCTATCTTGGACAATAAACTAATATAATACTAATATAAGGAGCCGTTTAATCAAATGTAGAAAGGAATTACATGAACAAAATGTTTTTGGTTGAACATGAAAGTTTAAGTTACCTAAGTGGTAAGCAACTACATAGGAAGTACAGCTTCTCAATGTTTTTGCCTACTATTTACACTTTTCCACTTCATACTTCCCATGATTTTTTATGTCAATCAACCTTTAAGCTTCCAATGCTGCAAATTCATGTGTTTCTTACTTCTCCCTGCAGATATTGGAATGGAGAGATATTGGTGTTGCCAATCTTGCTGGTGTCATATCCCTTGCAGCTGGTATATTGATGTGGGTAACTTCCCTGCCTGGAGTAAGGAAGTGGAACTTCGAGTTATTTTTCTACACCCATCAACTCTACGTCGTTTTTGTTGTATTTTTTGCTATGCATGTTGGTGACTTCATATACTGCATGGCTGCTGGAGGAATATTCCTCATCATGCTTGATCGTTTCTTAAGATTTATCCAATCTCGTAAGACAGTGGATATAATTTCTGCGACATCACTTCCTTGTGGAACTGTGGAGCTTGTGCTTTCAAAACCTGCATGTGAGTACTTGATCTGAGGCCATTTATTTCCATGTTTTTGATAAAATTTCAGGAAAATATGGACTAAATTAAACTTGTGGAAACATGTTACAATATAAACTTGCTCTGAGACTTGTGGCATAAGCAAACAACTAGAATCCTTAGTACTCAAGACAAGGAGCCAACATAAACTGATATTAGATAACAATTATATGTTTCGTAATATGTCACTGACAGCTGCAATTACAGGTCTTAGGTACAATGCTCTCAGCTTTATCTTCCTTCAAGTTCGGGAATTATCTTGGCTTCAGTGGCATCCTTTCAGTGTCTCATCTAGCCCTCTAGAGGGTAAAAACCATCTCTCAGTTCTCATAAAGGTTCTTGGAGAGTGGACAGATAAGCTTAAAGGAAAAGTGTCAAACAATCAAAAGGAGCCTCAGAAGCTTCTCGAAACTCAGCTAAAATCTTTGGTAACTGCTTCTGTGGAGGGACCTTACGGACATGAATCACCATATCACTTGACGTATGTCCTATACTCTATAAGATTTGTTTATGCTAGTGTATACTCCAATTAGCCATTGTAAGTTTGTAACGGATATAACCCTGAATGATAGGCTAATTTTCAAACAGAATTGACCTTCTTGACACTCTCTGTAGCCCCTGAACTCAAAATACTACTGTTTAGTTGACTTATGAGACATTTTCTAATAGAGTCCTCAACTGAAAATATAAGATCATAAAACAATGCTTTTCAAGTTTAGTGCTATTTTGGAGAATGCCAAATTTGTTAGTGTCATTAAAAATAACTAATTTAATAGCCTATAGCATTAGGTTACCATAGTCCATGCCGTCCATGGATAATTTTCGCTAAACCTGATTCTTTATAAGTCATTGCTTGCACTTTCTTACATACTTGCATAGCAACAGTCTTACCAATTCTTAATTCTTCTCAGGTACAAATACTTGGTCTTAGTGGCTGGTGGCATTGGTATATCTCCCTTCCTTGCTGTTCTAAGTGATGTCATGCATCGTCTCAAAGAAGGAAAACCTTGCATGCCCAGAAACATCTATATTGTTTGGGCTATCAAAAACTCAGATGAGCTGCCACTTCTGTCAATGATTAATATTGACTCCATAGACCCCATTTTCTATGATGCCTTAAATCTCGACATTCAAATTTATGTCACTCGACAATCAGAACCTAAACTGGTCAGTTACCCTTCCATTGTTACCTGTTTTTTTTTTTTTTTTTTTTTTCCTGCACTTCTCATGTACATTTCTATGTTTTTTTTTTTTTTTTTTTAAATCCTAACAGGAAGAGGGGAAATCATTTGGAGCTATGAATACCTGCACATATCCTGTCTCAAAGCGATCTGCCATATCAGTTTTGGTTGGTACTGGAGATAACATATGGTCTGGGATTTACATCATTGCTTCTTCAATTGGCTTTTTGATCTTCCTGGGTTTGTTGGATGCGCTTTACATAAATCCTTATGGTATACAAGCTTGGTGGTACAAAGGACTTCTTGTATTTTTGTGCATGGTAGCTGCTGTTGTCGTCTTTGGGGGTCTAGTTGTGGCCCTTTGGCATTTATGGGAGCTGAGAATGTTGGCCGCTGAGAGTATAGAATCTAATACCAAGACATCTAACACGGCGCTTCATGATGTTGCAGTTGAACAGAAGAATTCAAATCAAGATTATCTTATTAATTCAAGTACTCTTCGGTATGGATGTAGGCCAGATTTCAAAGGTACATTGCATTCCTTTTTCTGTTTCTGATATATGTAAGAAGCAAGAAACTACAGCAGCAAAAACAAATTTAGATACGAGCAGTTAGGCCCCTAAGTTCAATTTACGTGTAAATGGGTTTATCTAAGCTCATAGAAGAATGGAACCTAAACAACATCAGTGAAATAAGCTAGAAGACTAAAGACCCGATAATCTGTAGGATACAACATAGACAGTCATCAAGCTTCAAGCAATCTTTTATATAATTTTTATCAGACCTGTTTGTCAACTCTGTTTAAATTATCAAAATTATTAGTAGCTTCCAGAATTCGCCACACCCCCCAAAAAATAGATCTGTCAAAGACATTTTGGGCAGTTTTTTTTTATTTACTGCTTGATCTCAATTGTTATTGCAGAAATATTTGAATCATTGTCAGAACAATGGGGGGCAGCTGATGTTGGTGTCTTAGTCTGTGGTCCTGAAACACTTACATCAACGGTTGCCAAGGAAATAAGATCACACAGCCTAAGCAGGAAGCAAAATCATCCGGTTTTCCACTTCAATAGCCATAGCTTCGATCTCTAGAGTAATGTAGTAATTATGCCATGTATTTCGTAATTTTACCTATAAGTTCAGTACTGGTAATAGGAAGGCATAAGTCTGCATGCCCTTCTCCAGAGCTTTGCTTTGGCACAAGCTCTTTCACATATCTCCATTATGTTGTTACTTGTTACAACCGAGCTTAGTAGTGTAATTTTACATTTTTACTTTATTCTGTTTATTGTACAAATGTATGTTATGTGAAGAGGTTGTATGGTACTTTCATTTGGCAATGTATATACAGTAATACTTCTTATGTACAGGAGTACAGATTGTACACTTCAGCATTTTCATAGGTGCATAGAAGTTCTTCAAATGCGCATTTTCATGTTTTCAATTTGGGCTCTCTAATCAGTTTTCATGTTAACCCATGACTACTAACGGGTGGGGTTGATTTAATAGGTTAATTTGGCAAGTTTGGTGCTTAGGTCACATCAGGTCATAATCTAGTCTGGTTAAGTATTTGTTTGCTGTTCGGATTCAAATTGAGTCATATTCATGTCAAATCATGTTGTGTTTTGGTTGATCTAGTTAGATTGTAGATAGGTTAAAGCGGGCTATTTCAAGTACACATATATGTTCTATTCACCTGATTTTCACTTATTTAAACTTAACTGAACTTATTAGAACTTATTAAAACTTATTTTAGTTATAATTTGAACTTGGGTCACCCTTATTATTTTGGATTTATTTTTTCTGAACTGAAAATATCTGAACTTATTTTTCCTAGCCTAAACTTATCTTAACTAAATTGAACTTATTAAACCCGAAATAAGTGAAAATAAGGTAAACAGAACAGACCATAGACATCTAATAATTGTTGGATTCAAATTGTCTTGCGAAAAAATTTGGGTAAGACAGACTCACCGTGAGTCCGCCGCCCAAATAGATCACCGTGACTCATCGAAAATCAGAGTATAGAAAGATCGGAGCATACAGAAGCAGGATCGAAGAAGACGATCCAGATGATGATGATGAAGGTGCCGCGAAGAAGACGATTCAGATGATGATGATGAAGGTGCCGCCATTGACAAACATATAGGAAGATCGAAGCATATAGAAGTAGGATCGAAGAAGACAATCCAGATGATGATGACGAAGGTGCCGCGAAAAAGGCGATCCAAATGATGATGATGAAGGTGCCGCCATTGACATAAGCATGGTGAGTGATTCTTTGGCCATCGAAAATTCCGCCATTGATGCAGCACCTTCATCTTGAGGAGAGAGAAAGAGGAAATGCCTTTATTGAGGAGAAGGTTGAGGAGAGAGAAAATAAGAGGAGAGTGTTGGGGAAATAAGCCCTAAAAATATTAATGTCAGGTATTAGATATTATTGTTTAGTATTAGATTATTATTATCAGATTAGAATATTATTGTCAGATATAATGGACTCACAGTGAGTAAAGTTGGGCATGGGTCGGGCTGACATGTGGGCCGTCCGGCACGGCACGCTTCTCGGCGGGGCACGGCACGGCCCGGGGTGGTGGCCCGGCATGGAACGGTGGCCCGTCGGCGCGCCATGGGCCGTGCCACGGACAGGAGCTGCACTTTTCGGCACGAGCCCGCCCCTTGGCCCACCGTGCCAGCCCGCCCAGGCACGCCCTAAATATATATATTTATATATATTTATTTATTTATATAGTGTAAACATTAAAAAAAAAAAAAGAAGAAGAAGAAGAAAAGCACGGCGGCCCGCAGGCCAGCATGAAGGCCGGCACGACACGAGCCCGCCAGGCACGAGGGTCGTGCCAGGCCGTGGGCTGGCCTTTGAAATTGGCTGGCACGGCACGGCACGAAAACCTGGGCACGCTGGCACGCCCGGCACGGCACGCCAGTGACCGTGGCCCGCAAGGCACGGCTCGCGGCGGCCCGGCCCGGCACGATTCCCAAGTTTAACGGTGAGTCCAGTCTCACGCAAAACCTTCTCATTGTCTTGATTCGAGCCATTTTCAATATTGGTTGAACTTTTGGACGAGTGTTACTAGATTCAAGATATGATCGCATCAGACCATATCTAAAATCGGGTCACTATTTTGCTATAAATAATTGAGATACTTATTTGCAAGTATTGCAACGTGGATGCATATCCTACACAAAGAATTAGTACTTTGTACATCTCAAGATACATCGTTCCTCTTCTAATTGCAACATTGAAGTCGTTGATGCATATCCTACACTATTACCCAGTAATATTTTAGTTTTATTTTAATAAAAATTATAAAAGATTAATATTTTATAAATATGTATTGAGACGAATCTAATAAAATATTACAGAATTTTTTTTATTACATATATTATAAACGACACTTAATGGAATGTATGTGAATAGTATAAAATATAAAGTGTTGCAATTAAAACATAAAAAATGAAGTTGTTATTAGGGACAAAATATTCATTTACATTATTTAATTTGTTCCTAAAAATTGCATACCATAAAACTATACTACAAATATAAGTAAACAAATAAAGTACTTTCGTATATTTGTAAAATATTGGTAATACAATAAAGGTAAGTAGGAAATTAAGCCAAGCCCAACATCAAAACTTGTAAGCAAAGGAAGCAACGACAATAATGCTGTTGAAACTTGAAGGTGAACCAGAATTGATGTTACTTGAATAGGAAGCATTGGGGTCTTTGTTGTAACTTGTAACGATGAAGGAAAAGATTGAATTATTAAATGGAGATGAAAATTTATAAGCGACCCATAAACATTGGCAAGAGAACATTTGTTAATAAACTACATGGGAAGGCGGATCATTATTAGGATTTTAAAAATGATCTAGACAAATATTCTCTTTCTATCATACTTCGGTAATTATTGTGGATCTGGGATTTATACACACGCAAATGACATTATATTCGAACATAAATGTAATACTGTTTAAATATTTTGCATTACACCAAATTATTCTACATTACACCAAATTTATAACTTGGTTTTAACATACCTCAGCTCCGTTGATTAGAGTAGGTAAGAAATATATTTTTAAATAATTTAAATAATGATGGAATAATACAAATAATTTTAAGTTCAAAAAAAAAAAGAATAATACAAATAATTAAATTTACATCACCCACTTTTGATAACTATTAAGGGTCGTTTGGTTCGCAAAGCGGAATCGAAATGGAATGGGGAAAGGGTATGGAGGAGAATGGAATGAAACCCTTAAAATTTAGGGTGTTGTTTGTTTTAAAAAACAAAGGGAATAATTCCATGGAACCACCACCATAGCACCACCATTAAGGGTTTTATTTTAACTTTTTTTTTTTCTGGAAATTGGTAGTTTGGAATTCCGGCGGCGACCAGTGAGGTCGGAGAAGTGCCAGCGAAGGTGGAGCGAGGTCGGGGGAGGTGCAGCAAGGTCGAGGGAGTGCCGGAGAAGGTGGAGCGAAGGTCGGGGAAGTCCGGCGAAGGTGGAGCGAAGTCGGGGGAGGTGCAGCGAGGTCGAGGGAGTCCGGCGAAGGTGGAGCGAAGTCGGGGATCGCCGGTGAAGGTGGAGCGAAGGTCGGGGATCGCCGATGAAGGTGGAGCCAAGGTCAGGGATCGCCGGCGACCATCCGGCGAGGTTGGTGGGATGTGGGTATGGTGGTGGTTGGGGAAAGGAAATGGTAAAGGTAGGGGGTGGGGAATGGGGGTGGAATAAAAATAGGTAAGCCCAAAAATAAAAAAAATAAAAAAAGGAGAAAGGGAATGACAAAAGTAGCAAAACAAACGCTTACAAAGGGAATCATTCCCATTCCCTTTCCCCATTACAGCGATCCAAACGGTCCCTTACCTAACTTTGGGGTAACTTTTGATATATGTTAGGCCCTAGTCACTTTACCTTATAAAAATAATATTCGGTTAAAATATTTTCAATTCAATAAAAATAATTTCAGCTCAGTAAAAATAATTTCAGTTTAGTAAAAATCACTAACTTTTAAGATTAAAATATAATAGAGAATCAGTAAAAACAATTTCAATTCAGCAAAAATAATTTTAGTTAAGTGAAAATAATTTCGATTCAGTCAAAGTAATTTAGGTTCAGCAAGAATAATTTAAGTTCAATTAAAATAATTTTAATTTAACAAAAATAAGGTGAAGTGAACGGGGTCTTAGGATAACTATAACTTGTAATCATGTTTATTATTATAATAAGAAGTAACTTTTAAGGGATTAATTCTAAATCATCGAAAATTATTACTCAAAAAAGGGAAGCAAAAATAGCAATTGAGCTAATGAGGATAATCGGATTCGGAAGGAGGTGATGAACCAGACAACTCTGACACTGATTCTTCGGGTGCAGGGGGCAATAACAATCTGCCTGATGGTTATGGGCATGATGATGATGCTACTGGGGATAACAATGACAATCTTGAACCAGAAATTATCCCAATTAATGGGGTTTACCAAAACGGATATTTGTCTCATCCGACTACTGTGGTTTTTTCTTCTTCGTCGGAGAGCTCCGTGTACGGCTCTGCTTCTGAGCAGGGGAACACTACTATCACTTCTTCTGAAACAGACCCTACTACTCCGGAGTCATATCACAACCCGAATTCAATGAGATTTACTGAAGAGAATCGGGCTGAAAAGATGCGAGCTCAAGAGCGGCAGGCTGCTTTTCCTGTGGGCGATCCTTATGGGCCTTTTACTGCAACTCGGTCACAATTAACCTTTGGGGGAGGTTTTCGAATGTCTGCTGCCCTTGAGGAAAGCTACATTTCTGATAGCTCTAAAGCTGATTCCACTTCTCATTACCAAGCTAATGCAACTGCAGTAACCTCAGTGCCTCCTATGTTTCAAAGTATTTCTCTACTGGATAAAAATTTGGCGTCTAATTCATGTTCAGCAGCTACTGTTGTGTCTACGCCGCAGCCAAACAAACACAATGCCAAGGCTTCGCCAACTCGCTCTGTGATTTGGCCGCCTAAAAGAAGTCGTTCGGGAGCTTTCCATCGTTGCAGGTTGTTGAGTCCCTTAGGTTTTGATTGATAGTTTTGAATGATGACAAACAGCTAAGGGAAACAGGTTCTTGAAAGTGTTCGATACAGTTGGGGGAACCAGCTAACATAGAACACTGTTTCCCCAGACAAGTTATTACTTACATGAGTTTTCTTATTGAACTAACTTGTCTTTATACAGGGAACAGTTATATGATAAAAGTGTTATGTACTGGTAGGGAACCAGTATGTACTGTTTCCATGGTTGCTACGTGGTAAAGCAGTCACATACTCTTTATTGTGCATTAACCATGTTACATGTGCAGTAGTTGAGTTGATTCCAAGACTTGGAGCA